CTCCTCGCTTGACTCAATGACAACAGTAGGTGGCGACCTTTTTGTTAACTAACTAGTTTGACTCACTCATTTTAATGTACCTGAGTTGGAAGCCTTTATATGGACACTGCCTTTTATAGAATGACAAACTCTGTCGATGCAGGTAACTTCTACAGTTATACTTCAGTTAGCAGAGCTTGTTTTGACCTTAGCGCTACTCCGGTACACTGCAAAGCCAGGGCAAGCTATTCAACCTTTCTTTTCTGGGAAGGTTTTTACAGAACGGAATTGGGTCAAAGAGACTGTATTAGGCTTTGTAGTTTTGATGGCCCTGGTATTGACCACATCCATCTTAGCTGATAAATTGGTAGGGTCTGAGGTAAGATTTTCATCAAGCATATTGATTTCTCTCATACTGTGCATTAACGTTGCTCTACTACACTACAATAGTTTGTTTTTGGTTAGAAGGGGTCTAAAAGTTTTTTGGGCCCTTGCAGGATGCATATGATCCGATATTAAAGGAGATCCTTTCTGAGAGTCCGGCCTCTGCTCTATTGTGTTTCTTTCTCTACTGTGTTATTGCTCCGCTATCAGAAGAAACCATCTACCGTGGGTTCCTTTTAACAGCTTTGTCATCTTCAATGAAATGGCGAGACGCTGTCGTGATCAGTTCACTTGCGTTCACTGTAGCACACCTCTCCGGTAAAAGTTCCATTCAACTGTTCGTTGTTGGATGCATTACAGGGTTGGCTTATTGTCGAACTGGAACTTGGTCTGCTTCTTTCACCATCCATTCTCTGTATAATGTAGTATTATTGTATATGGCTTTAGTATCATGATCATTTTTTAGTATAATGTGAATGCAAGTGCTTTCACTTTAGTCTGATTATTGCAGCGGTTGTAAGCTCGCTTAGACCTTCACTCTCCCGTAGTCATCGGGCTAGGATAATCGATGACCTCCGCATGCACTATATCACAAGGTTAACCTAGTCACTACTGTTAACCCTACTACGATCATATACCACGTAAACATATGTAATAATAAATAAAGCATGCATCGACATAGACCAGAATAGCAGTGACATAAGCATAAGCAACTAACTTTCAGAATATCGTTGTAGTTTGATTTTTCCTCTTTGAACTTCAAAAACAGACTTTTTACCCCTGAACTCTCAAATCTGTTTAAATTGCTCTCTACCCTGGTTTAGAGTGGTTTTGAAGGCGGTTTTGTTCTTTTTTTTTAGTTAAAAATGATAAATACTTGATAAGGTTTTAAGCCACGGAACTACCTCTATGCTTTTAAAACTTCTGAAAAAAAATCAAGAGATGGATTAGGATACGAAAAATTAAATAAATATTTAGAGCTCATGAAGATTTCTATAGATGCTTCAAAAAGAGATGTTTCACTCTAGGGACATAGAAATTATATAAAAAAAACTAGAAAATTCTCAAAACATTCTAATTGATATGTAAATGTGTTTTGAAAAATTTTCAAAACAAAAAAAAACATAATATGCAACCAGCATGAATGCATTCAATATTAATGTATGTTGCATTCATTCTAGTTTCATTCATACTTTTTCCATGCAAAGTTTTTAAAACATGTTTATACATCGATTAAAATGTCTGGGGATTTTGTAGAATTTTTTTTGGATATTTTTTTCCATTTTCCTAGAGCTAAACCTTTTTTAAGTTTCTAAGATGATTTCATGAGCTCTAAATATTTTACTGGATTTGTCAGATCTCAATCTATATCTAATTTTTTTTCAGAATTTTTAAATGCTTATAGAAATCTTTTGTGATTTAAAAACCTTCTCAAGTACGTCCTAGATTTTTTTAACTAAAAAGGATAAAACTACCTTTAAAACAACTCCAAACCAAGATATGGTGGTAATTTGAACGGTTTCGAAAGCTTAGATGGTAAGATGTCTAGTTATAGAGTTCGAGGAGGAAAATTAGACTACGGCGATAGTTCAAGGTAGAATAGACTTTTTCCTTCGAAAATGTTTTATATCTTTTGAAGCTGTTTTTAAAATTTTAAATCCATCACTCCCTCTGGACTTCAAATGTAGGACTTCTAGCTTTCGCAAAACTGGTGCTTCGATCGAAGTGGGGTTAGGCTTCCCTCGAACTTGTCTTCCTTGTGCATGTTCCTTGGATACTCATCAGCTTATGTCCTTGTCGGCATGTCGACTTAAGTCCAAAGATTAGTCCATTTGCCTCACATTTCCTGACATTTTGTAATATACTCCAAAATACAAGGAATAGTAAAATATGAAGTTATATCCAAAGTCAACTGGTGTATTGATGTTAATTTATGTATATGAATGAATGAATTTGCTACTAAAAATGAGTAGTAAAATGTGTGCATAGTATGCACTAGTAACCCCGTCCTGCAGCAAGTGATCGATCAAAGAAGTAATTACCTAGTAAAGATCAACGCTGCACTCGTGTAGCCGATACCTAAACTCATCCAAGCACATGCATATCCACACTCCCTCCGTCCCAAAATAGATGAGGCTTTTGACTTTTAGATATCAAGTTTGACTATTTGTCTTATTTTTTTTTTTTTTTGCAAAGTAATAAAATAAATAAGTTATTATTAAAGTATCTCTAATGATAAAAATAAGTCATGACAAGATAAATAATATTTATACAAAATTTTGAATAAGATAAACTGTCAAACAAGATGTCTAAAACTAAAAGACGTCATGTATTTTGAGACAGGAGTACTTCATAGATACTGGTGCGGTGTGGGAAAAAAGAGCCAACCATAAGATATCGTTATGAAAACGCAAGGTCTATTGCGCGCGGGGTCGCGCTCCTGAGGGAGCCAGCGACCCTCCAGCAGGCGGCCTGGCCCACCAGGAGCGTCCGACTCTCAGTGGCCTGCCTACGCCCATGCGCCTACCGTGCTTTTTTTTTCTTTTTTGTTTTTTTGTTTTTTCTGTTTTTTGGTATTTATTTTATTTTATTTTGTTTTGTTTTATTTTTAGTATTCTTTGCATTTTTTTAATTTCAGTTTTAGTAGTATTTTTTATTTTTTTATTTTATTTTCTATTTGTCAATTTCAGTTCTATTTTTTTTGTCAATTTCAGTTTCAGTTGGCAGCAAGCCATGTTTCCTGGATTTTGTAATAAATGTCCTCCGGTTGGCAACAAATCATGTTTCCTTGCTTTTGTAATGTGTTGTATATAACTTGTCCTCCTAGTTGTTAGCGTATGCAATGCTTGTTTTAATAATTTGCCTCTTCAGGTTGCAGCTTGTCTTGTTTTTGGCCCGCTACTCTCTTTAGGGGTTAGTATGTTTATGTAAATATTATATAACAATTTTATTATATTCCTATAGTAACAATTGATGTGCATACTTTGTAACAAATTTAGTATATTTTTCAGGAACAACTTTAGTATTACATGGTAGTAACTCATAACACATTTACACACAAATTGCTTCTGGGTAAAATTCTTTGAAACGTAGGCAAGTGGGGTCTAGTTTTATTCGCCACATCACATAGAACACATTGGTCAGACGGAATTGAAAACGAATACAACACTAAAAAATTGTAGCCATTCAAAAAAATGTTGTGCTTTTTTGCATTAATTACCTGACGTCATGGTAAGTGTGCTGATTGACACATGCGCTGACAGGAGCAGGATGAAGCTGATTTATTGTGAGAAAAAAATACTGTTCCATGTCTGATAAGTTTAAACAAACGGAACCTGAGTAGCGCGTCGTGCTCTAACTAAATCACTTCAACTCTCGATGCATATTACTACATTTTTGGCTGTATGAATATATCAGCTAGACCTCTCAGTCTCAGTGGTTAGTTTTCAACAGTGTTCGCATAAACGGCCTACGTTTAAATGGCCACTAAATGGTAAATGGTGGGTAAACTGTTTTGTTTAAGGGGTAAACGAAAATTAAACGGTTGACCGTTTAAACGGGAAAAAAACGGGAAAAAACGGTCTAAACGGCCTAAACGGAACGGAGATAAATGATATTAAACGGGCTAAACAGCTGTTTAAACGGCTGTTTAGGCGAACACAAGGTAAATCTAGTTCAGTTTTATATGGATAAATTTGTATACTTAAGTTTATTATATTTATAAATATGTACACTTGATATGTTACATGCATAAATATCTATATTTGATTCTTTTCACATGCATAAATATATATACATACCAAAATAATTAATTTTTACTCGGATAAATATGTATAAATACTAGAATACTTGATTTTTTACATGTACATATAATTATATGTATTTTTTTAAAGTACAGAACCGTTTAGACCGTTTAACTTCGTTTAAACACCGTGTAAATAGTCTAAACGCTAAACAAAGGGCGATCATGTAAAGACCGTTTACCGTTTAAAAAAACATTGATTTTCAGACTTCCTTTCCAGTTATATATCATTCTTTTAAGTTATAGAATGGTTTCACCGTTACCCATTTGGGTACAGGCAACTTGAAGTGGACTGAACGCTCCTGCCGGCTGGGGAGGGTATGTTAGCCCACACTGACCTATCGCCCAAACTCTGCCATCGCCCATCGGCATCACAAACAGTATGTCAGCCCACACTGACCTACAAGGATACAAAATCACACTGGACTATAAGAATACAAAAGTTTAACCAATGCAAAAAAAACCTTTGGAAGACAAGGGAACAGTAGTGGATATGGTGATGAGGAGCATCAAAGAGCCACTTGGAGACAAATGCAATGCGATGGTGGCAGGCAGTTGGAGCGACATTTGACGATGGCACCACCCTCATCGCCTATCAAAGCAAAATTTGATGATGGCACTTGGAACGACAAAAGGAGTTGTGGGATGGAGGATTAAACCGAGAATATTTAGGATTGCTATGTGACTTTCGTTCATTGGTAAAACTTCGTATATCATATCACAGACTCAATAGGAAATAGTAGAGTGCTTGTAGATGATAATAATCGGGTGCAATGCACAGGGAACAAATTTGATGTCCAACTAACCAAGTAAACAAATTAAATATCAGCTGTTCCTAAAGCGTATCTTGTTTGTCCAAGTAATTTAGAAATCTTGACATACAGAGCCAGAATGTTTCTGGAATCTTGTAACTGGAATGGCTAGCCAGGGTAAAAAACACATCAAGAACAAATTTTTGTGATTCATGCTTCAACAAAGTACGGATTAGCATGGCACTCCAAGCATCTGGAGCCAAACTGATAGCTTGCCGGAACGATTGTACTGTATTCACCAGCCTCCTGATCATCTTACTTCTCTGCAAGACAAAGCAAACCTTCAACAGTATTACAAGCTTGAGCAGTAATAACATAAAACATACTCCGTGCTATGCTGCACATTGACCAGTTCACGAATTCAGCTGAGGACGTACACTTGTACAACCACCCGAGGGGGGGGGGGACACAACCGCAAAATTCATTACTTTCTGAAAGAAGCAAATCAAATAGTACAGTGCGCTTGAATGGTCAAAAGTCTCCTCTAATGTCTTATTACGCACCGGTGATATTACATACGCCCTCTAGACTCTAGTCTAAAAGTAAAAGCCTTTTTGGGAAGCTGGTTTTGAGAGGTCATTTTGGTTTTCTAAGCAAACACTTTGTACCAGGCAAACCCATTGATTCTTGTTGGTATTACTGCTTGCCAGTGGTGCTTGTGAGATGAGTGAGTAATCATTAATAAACAGGAGCAAGCTAAATAAAAGTATTAACCATAGCGACCAGAACTGTGGTCCGCAGGGTTTGCGGCTTGCCACATTCGAAAAGTAATGTTCGCTATTTGTACTCTGGTTCATGAATCAGGAATCCAGAATAAGGTTCATGATTCAGAACTACTCGATCAGATATATGTCCAGGTATAAAATAAAGAAAGGAAAGGAGGAAATGGCAAGTAAAAGAAGGCCCCCCCGTTCCAACCCTAGCACTGCAATGCACAAGCTCTCCTTCCTCTCGTTGACACAGCACCGCCACCCTTTTGCTTCTCCCTCAAACTTCATGAGGCTACAGTAGGCCACTGCTACCGCCAGGTACGCTGACCACACAACTCATTTTGGCAATGTGCTTCCCCATCCTCAACTCCTGCTAGATCTGATCATATGTCGAACTGGGTCAGGCCAGGTAAAACCCGACGTTTTTTCTCTTGGCCCAGGGCCGACCCAACCCATCCCAGGCATCGGGCTGCAAATCTTAGCTCATTGCCGCCCAATGGCGAGCTCAACAGGCCGCTGGCCAGCCCAACCAACTCAGGTGATGCAGTTCGCACATCAAGGATGCACTAGCAGGCAGTGCACAGCGTCGATGTTGATGTACCAAGGAGGCATCTGTGGCCAGTGCTCGACATCGGTGCAGCGAGGAGGCATGTTGAGTTGGTGGATGGCTGCTGCACATCGATTTGGTATTCCTCCCCACGGCGAGATGCATCGGCGTGGTGGTAGCCAGCGGGGATCTTACAGATTGGCCTTCGTAGCCTCATAGGGATCTGGTAGCACCTGACACAACCAGGTGTGTGGTGGCAGGGGATGGACATTGGAGACAGAGGGTGGAAGGAATCATGCGTTCGTGGCTTGGCCTATATAGGTCAACGATGTGAGGTGGCTGGGTTACAGGGAAATATCACCTGAGCTGATGCCGTGCATGCATGATGAGTGGGCTGGATCAGCACAACTCTGGCCAGGATGAAAATTCACAACGGTGATTGGACTGCAACAGAGAACAAGAAATGAATTATGTTTCTTTTTCTCCCTATAGTCAGGTCATCGGGCCAGCCCATAGACTAGAATTTAGCCCCAAGCAAGACCCGATTTTTGCTTCGGGGCAGAAATTACGGCCTGCGCCCACCCGATGTGTCGACCGGGCAGGGTTGACCATGATCAGGTCTAGCTCCTGCTTGTTGCCCATGCTCCCAACACCCTGCTTTCCAGCCGTTGCCACTCTCTCCCAGTGCTACCAAGCCACATCATTGGACAGATTTCAACACAGGCAGCAAAGACGGTAACCATGATGCCCTCAGCATTTTACTATTCTTTGTTTGGGTTCTCCCAGCCCCGTTGACCACCCACAATTTTCCAGTGATTCACTGATTCACTTCACACACAAACCATGAATTGATTCGTGCGACCTGAATTCAGGTTTGTGAGCATCCAGCTATGGTACTAACTCAACCTTGTTATGTGTGGATGGAGTAGATCTCTGACTGGAGGTAAGTAATGCACAATTAAAAGAATTGAGGCATTGCACAGGAACTACAAATCACAGGGAAGAAATTATAGTTTCAACTATCAAATCATGATGAACATCAACTAACCTCTGGATTTATGTCCCCTATCGTTCCCACCTTGTCAAATATATACGGGAATGTTGCTTCTTGAAGAAACACGTCTGAAGCTTTAACAATATCCTGGACAAGGAAAACCCGAACCCGCCATCCTTTCCTCGATAAAATGAAATCAAATAGGTCTTCTGTAGCTGCAATCACAGAATGCATATCAAATGATCTCCACTCAGGACTTCCATTGGCATGCTCACTAGAGTCAGCTCCCGCTGCGCTTGAAGATTCTGATGACTGTTCAGATATAGCTGCAATCTGAAAAACAAATGATGTTAGGAGGAACAAATAAAAAAAAACTATGTATAACACAAGATCAAAGAGATATCTGTAAAATTTCTCATGACACTAACCCAAACACAACACCAGGCTTAGGACCCACAACAGGATAGAGACCAAGACCCATTTCCAGGAAAGATTGACTGATTTGTTATTATATTTTAATTTTTCAGATTATATATATTTCTGCTCTGTTGCATATTGAAGCTTTAAAACTTGTTAAGCAATGCAATTACAAGCCTATCACCATATTGTTTCATAGAATTACAATGTTGTGTGCCTAACTCAATAAACTACAACTTCTAGGACCATTTTCAAATAACTACAACTATTTCACCCATAGTAACACAAAACTACAGTTTTAACACCCTGTCAAATGGCTGCTTGATGACACCTGTCCTCCAGACAAAGCCGGATGTGATGGGGACACCCAGGATGGTTGATGCATACTTGTCCAGCTAAGGGTGGGACCAATCAGCAGTTCAGCACTACCATCAGGGTGGTGAAAAGTTGTTGATTTGTGTTAATAGGAGCACAAATAGATGTAGTTTATGAAGTGGTCCTTAGATAAGGGTTCTTTCGGACATAGAGAGTTGCCGCTTTGTGAAATTTACTCTAAGTGAATTGAAAACAAGGTTTTGTGGCGTGAATAATCATAGGTACCAGAACTGAACCTGCCCAATTTTATGCTGAGCAACACTACAGTACTGGCACAAAATATATTTAAAAAGTCGACCAAAATAGGAGGAACTAGGTCACATTGTAAGTAAGAAGAAATGGGCAATCATATTCAAGCCAAAGACAACTCGAACCTGGGTGGTGGGGAGTATTCCCACAAACTGAGCTAGCTCAGATCATACAACCCAGAAAAAGAATACATGATGCCCAAAAAAAAAATTAGATAACCAACAGTAAAAGTTGTCCATAATTCCACGCCTATAGAGCTGGATCCTATTGTTGTCCTTTAGTCTTTACCTTAGAGGTTCCGTCTGTTAAGAGGGCTACCACAAATTAGTAATCATGTTCACAGAAAGGATAGATCCATGAAACTGTTTCCACGCATACAAACAGAGGAATCAGGAGTGTATATTATTATATCATGACAAATGAAAGTCCCTAGTGTGTTCTTGATTTTTATTGACTGTTTTTTGTACTTTCATCATATGGTTTTGGGGAAAAAAATCATGATAAAAATGAAATAGCAAGAGAAGGAACAATAATTAAGAAATATGTACCAGCCTTTCCAGTCGATTCCATCTGATGGATCCATCATCACGTATAAGAAGCTCCCTTAATATTTTCCTCATATCGGGACTGGGGTCTGCAAGGAGCCTCCCAATCACAAAAGGATATGCACTCTCAATAACTTTAAACTCAGGATCCAGTGCTTTTGCAGTCCCTTCTAGAGAACCAAGTGCTCTTATCACCAGCGCATAATCAGGGGGGAGGGAGAAATTAAATTCATACATCAAATCATACAAATGGTTCATTACACCCTGCAAGGCAAGGAACGAATGAACTTAGAAAGGATCAAAGGATGGACGAGATTAGAAAAAGGAAAGTAGAACCAGGCAGATGAGAGCATCAACCATATGTAAGAAATTAAGCCACAATAATGATCCGAGTAGGAACAAGACAGAGATCCAAGTAGACAAGCTGTTTAAATACCATACCTCAAAATTTAATTAGACTTACCTATAGAATGTCAGACTTGTTGGAATGGCACAGACGTGAATAAAAAGGATGTTGCTATATTAAATTTTTAAAAAAGTAAGCTAATAACTCAGAATTTCCTTCAGCGACAGATAAATCTGAAGACTACCCTACGAAACAAAAAAAAATCTTGACTATCTTCACCAGAGTGTCAACTTCAAACTTCATCATTATTAGTTACCCAAGTTTCACAACAATAATCTGGCTGTGCCTTTCTGTTTGTTAGCTCTAATCAAAATGCTTAATTAATAGCTCAGGTGAACTACAGCTAACATGCTAGCATTGAGAGGCTTTGAAGTAGCTCTAGAGAACAATAATTCTAAATAACACATGCCTTAACAACAAAGCCTTTTAGTCCCCAGCAAGTTGGGGTAGGCTAGAGATGAAACCCAACATGAGGTCATGAGCCACCAACAAAAAGGGAAAATAAAATAAATATATGTAAGGCATCAATAACAGTGATATTATTAGGGGAGGTAAAGCCTTGTCACGGTTCAGGCACGTAGATAGCTGCTTTCCATGCACTCCTGTCCAAGACAATTGTCTGGGTATATTCAATCCTTTCAAGTCCCTTTTCATTGCCTCCTACCATGTCACCCCCCCACCCCCCCACACACACCACCCCTCCTTACATTGTTTTCATGCCTTACTATTTTACTTTGCACATGCACTGGAAAGAAAAATATTAACTAACCTGGAAATCATTTGACTGCCTCCTGACATCACCAAAGGAAAACCGCAACGCATCTGCAACTGCAAGTAAATCTGTTCCCTCAGGAACAAATCCTAGTGAATGGAAATCGTTCGCCAAGCCTAAGGAGTCCCGATTAACATAATGTACAAGCTGAAACAAGTAAATTCAGTTTTTCAGAAGTAAATTTCTTGATTGAAGCCAAGCAACACCAATGAAACCAACATATCAGGAAACTAAAACATGAAGCTACTATGCCACATATTTCACAAAACAAAGTTTACAATTACCTGCTTGTATATGGTAGCAGACAGGGTTATTAATTTATACAAATTTCATGCAGCAAAAGGTAATCCAACAAAGCTTATAATTACTCGGCCTGCAGGGGGTAAGACAACCCCCGGGCATTTTGCTAAGCAGATCGAGAAAACCCTTGAACCCCCCACCCATACACAGCGGCACCGTAGCCCATGTGAGAACATGACTGAGGCCGAACCTTAGACCTATGCTTTGGTGTGGGATAGACAAGGGGATTTTTTTTTTAACCCCAACCTGAAATTCGCTCCCATGGGGAGTCGAACCCGGGACCTGAGGAGTGCTACTCGAGCCACTAACCAACTCAGCTAGAGGCTTAAATTACACATGAATAAAGTACTACTACAAGTATAATGTTTCACACAACTGATGATAGAAACAGGACTATATTGCATTAGTGACTCGCATATCAAAGTTCAGTTTTATTTATGCTCTACCACAAGTGCAGTAAACAGAAAGATCATTCAGCAAATTATTTCTTGCTAGACTTCCTAATTAAATTTATCCACAATGTGATTAGACCAGGAAATAAGATTAGCCATGTTTAAGTTTAACCAACTTCTGAAAATCAAACACCAGCATTGCTAGCCTAACTTGCTGCTCTTTGAAGACCTTACCAATAACACTTGGCCTGTAACTTACAAAAATAGTTAAGTGATTTAGCAGCACAACATCTAAGTCTAAACCTTTCTGAACTTTCCAGTTTCCACAATAAGAGTGGAAAACAATACCCTTCGTAACATCCATGAGTTGAATGCAGAACAAGTTAAGACAGTCTCACATACCATTTGTATAAGCCCCACACGATAGTGCCTCGGAATATCTCCCATCATACCAAAGTCAAAATATGCTAGAGATCCACCTTCAGTTGCAACTAAATTACCAGGATGGGGGTCTGCATGGAAAAATCCTTCTTCAAGCAGCTGTCGCAATGAGCAATAGAGACCCTGTGAGACGAGGAAAAAAATCAGTCCATAAAAGTCAGCAAGCATGATATAAAAAACATAGAGGGTAAGGAACTAAGGAGCAATGTTCAAAAAAGTAATGTGCTGCCTATCCAGTGTTCTGAGGAAAACCTGGCTCTGATTCAGAATTTATTGCCCTGCGAAGTGCTGGATTTTCCTTGCAAATATTTGGGCTTGCCTTTGACCATCAAAAAGTTGACCAAGGAGCAGGTCCAACCCATAATTGACAGAGTTGCAGATCAGCTACCTGGATGGAAGGCGGATCTGATGACACGTGCTGGCAGAGTAATTCAAGTGCAATTTGCTCTCACAGGAATCCTAATCTATGTGGCCATGGCAACAGATCTTCCACCTTGGGCTATCAAAGCCATACATAAGATCAGAAGGGCATTCCTGTGGAAGGGTCGAAAAGAGGCAAAAGGTGGTCATTGCCTCATTGCCTGGCCTAAAGTGTGCCGTCCCGGGAACTGGGTGGTCTTGGGATAGCAGATCTAGAGTCCCTGGGTATTGCCTTAAAAGCAAGATGGTCGTGGCTTAAGCGGAGTGCGCCCAACAAACCTTGGGCAAATCTGCCTATCCAAGTCAGTAACGAGGTAGCTGGTCTCATCTCTGTGGCAGTGATAACAGAAGTAGGAAGCGGATCTAATACGCTTTTCTGGAAGGATAAATGGCTGGATGGCAAGGGAATTCAGGACATAGCACCTCTGGTTTTCGCATTGGTACCCAAAAGAAGATCAAACAAACGCACTGTGCTGGAGGCCCTCAGTGAGAAGAAATGGACAGAGGATATACAAGGAGAAATCTGTATGACAGCCTTGAATCAGTACCTAGACCTTTGGGATGTCATGAATTCTGTGGAGTTGAATGAGAATATTCCTGATAAGCACATCTGGAGGCTATCTTCATCGGGTAAATATACAGCAAAAAGTGCTTATGATACCCTATTTCAGGGAGCAATCTTCTTTGAACCTTATGAGAGAATCTGGAAATCCTGGGCACCCCCCAAATGCAGATCTTTTATGGTTAGTTGCTCACAACAGATGCTGGACGGCGGACAGATTGGCAAGGAGGGGGCTCCCACATCCAGAACAGTGCGTACTTTGCGATCAACAGGAGGAAACTATTCAATATTCATCATTTGCTTGTGGGTTGTGTATTCTCAAGAGACTTTTGGTTCTCCCTCCTGCAGCATTTTGGATTTGCATCACTTGCTCCACAACCTACTGACCAATCCTTTGATGAATGGTGGAGAAAAGTTGATAATTCGGCTAGTGGAGATTTGAGGAAGGGTCTGAACTCTCTAGTCATTTTGGGAGCCTGGAGCATCTGCCGGCACAGAAATGAGTGTCTTCAATGGCGCAGCACCAAATGTTAATATGGTGCTCGCTTTGGTAAGGGAAGAGGCCCATTGGTGGAGCCTGGCAGGAGCTAAGGGGATCTCCCTGCTCACTGCCGAAGGAGCAGTCTAATGGACTGCTGTAGCGGTCGGGTCGTCATTTTATTTTTTAAACCGGCGATTTAGTTTCCTTGTAGTAGTGGGTGTTTGTGTGTGTGGGTCTGGGTCTATGTATGACTCTCTCTTCTTCTATTAATACAATGATACGCATCTCTCCTGCGTGTTCGAGAAAAAAAAAAGGAACTAAGGAGCAAGGACATACACTAAACACAGTAAAACACCTCCATAGAGATGGTCACACTTATGTTCTAGCCAAAAATTCAAGCTAATGGTATTTAAGGGTTGAAAGATATGGTCATACATTAGAATCACACAGGAGAGACAAAGGACAGAACTAATGTTGCAATGCAATTACATTCAAGCAGCCAAGTGACAATACCTCATCTATCATTCTTTTCCTGTTCAAATTGGCTTTGCTGATGCGCTCAGCATCAGTTAGCTTAATTCCATCAATCCATTCCAGTGTCAGTATGGTTTTACATGTATAATTCCAGTAAACTTTTGGGACCTTGATGCTTGTACTACCTTCAGAATTGATCCCACCAGAACCTGCTAGAAAATCAATGGCGTTGAGCTTGCAGCATGTAAACTGTAGAGGAACAGGTATTGTGAGACCATAGTTGGGGGATGGATATAGAGTATATCAATAATTTATTAAGAATTGAATTAAATAAGTGTGCAAACTCACCATGAGAATAAAGAGTAGCAAACCTTTCAGCATTTTGTCCTTCTAAATTATAATCAATCTCATCAAACATGTGCCTGACCTGTTGAACCAAAGATAAAATGTAATGCAACATACAAAGGTTAAAATTATACAAACGATCTAGAATTTACAGGAGGGCATGATGATTGTCAAAAGAGAAGATCGTAGGTCTACAATTTGCATAATGGTCTTGTGATTTATGTGACTTCATTTTCAGGAAACAAGCATCTCTGAAGTTAAAAAGATAATTCAGAAAGGATCAGAAAAAAGATTAACCTACACCCAAAAATACTAGAATCACAATAAGTCAGACCATTAAGTACCGGGTAGAGGGCCATAACAAGGCAACAAACATAGGATAGTCCAACAAATACTACACTTACTAAAATCATATGGTCTATGCATAATCCAAAGATAATATACCATGAATCATGTGAGGAAAGAGCAAAGCTGAGCATCATCCATCTCATGTTATGTGGATAGGAAGCTATTGATAATATAAATGAGAAAAACATTCTAATCCAGTCTGACAATAAAAATTTTGGATCCAGATGAAGTGGTCTTTGGAATTCATAGTAATCAGCCGCCATGGCAAATGTAAAAAACTATAAGAGAAAGAGTGATCAGAGTAGCACAGACAACGACAAGTCTAGTTCAGAAAGAAGTAGAAGCTCACAATCTCATTAACTGCCACCAATAGGTCTTTGCGAGCCTTAGCAAATCGTTTCATTTGTCCTCCAATCATGTGGAACAAAAGTGCATCTAGAGTCAGCAAGGGCGCCATTCCAGGCCTTTGAACTTTGACTGCAACAAGCTCTCCAGAACGTAGATGAGCTGCATTACTTGAAGTATCAAAGAAATGCATTTCAACTTGGAGAACTCAGGTCTGAAATATATGCTAAGGTAAATAACAATCAGTACAGAACAAGGATAATCACCAGTTAGTAGCAGAAGTCTTATCAGAAATGTCTAACCTTTGTAAACTTGCCCCAGTGATGCTGCTGCAATCGGCTCTGGGCTGATATCAGCAAACAAATCAGAAATTCGAGAGCCCAACTGAGACTCTATGGTCCTGAGTGCAATGTGAGTTGGAAATGGTGGTATTTGATCCTGAAAAGAAATTGTTCAGCCAACAACAACAACAAAGCCTTTAAGTCCCAAACAAGTTGGGGTAGGCTAGAGTTGAAACCCAGCAGAAGCAATCAAGGTTCAGGCACGTGAATAGCTGTTTTCCAAGCACTCCTATCTAAGGCTAAGTCTTTGGGTATATTCCATCATTTCAAGTCTCCTTTTATTGCCTCTACCCAAGTCAACTTCGGTCTTCCTCAGCCTCTCTTCACGTTACTATCCTGGCTTAGGATTCCACTATGCACCGGTGCCTCTGAAGGTCTCCGTTGGACATGTCCAAGCCATCTCAACCGGTGTTGGACAAGCTTTTCTTCAATTGGTGCTACCCCTAATCTATCACGTATATCATCATTCCGAACTCGATCCCTTCTTGTATGACCGCAAATCCAACGCAACATACGCATTTCTGCGACACTTATGTGTTGAACATGTCATCTTTTCGTAGGCCAACATTCTGCACCATACAACATAGCAGGTCTAATCGCCGTCCTATAAAACTTGCCTTTTAGCTTCTGTGGTACCCTTTTGTCACATAGGACACCAGATGCTTAGCGCCACTTCATCCACCCCGCTTTGATTCTATGGCTAACATCTTCATCAATATCCCCGTCTCTCTGTAGCATTGATCCTAAATATCGAAAGGTATCATTCCTAGACACTACTTGACCTTCCAAACTAATATCTTCCTTCTCCCGAGTAATAGTGCCGAAGTCACATCTCATATACTCAGTTTTAGTTCTACTGAGTCTAAAACCTTTGGACTCCAAAGTCTCCCGCCATAACTCCAGTTTCTGATTCACTCCTGTCCGGCTTTCATCAACTAGCACTACATCGTCCGCAAAAAGCATACACCAAGGGATGTCCCAATAAGCTACTAGTACAAGTTCCACAGACTTCTGATTTTGAACTATGCATTACTAATGGCTGTTTTGGGGCCTCCAACTGAGATAGAACTCTTTCTAGGACTTAAACATGTCAGTGGACCTACTTTGACGCCACAACTTTAGGACACTCATTCACCTCATAATTCTAGGAGATCAACATAAACAGGAAAAAGCATGTTCTTAGATCTAACAATTTGTTTTCATCACAAAGAAAAAAATATAGAATGGGGAGGTACCTGTAGCTTTGCAAGCTCCTGACAATACGCACTAGAAAGTATATCAGGCCGTGTGCTCAATGCCTGGCCAAGCTGCACGGTGAAAGAGAATTGGTAAAAGAACATATCATCAATTCCCTAGTTGTAATAAGACAATATTACACCTAAGACAATATTAGCTAACAAAGTATTGTAGTTCAAAAACAAGATATGGAGACAATGGCACAATAAAGATGCAGTCAACACAACCACCAACATGATTGATTTTGTACCGTTGTACGAATGCTTAAGGTAGATAATAATCATGTTACAAAACCATAGTGATAGGTGCAGTGATTTTGATGGTCATAAGACATGTTACATTGATGTTGCTTCCACCTTAACAAGGAGATACACCATACTGAAAAGTTAAGCATCAAATTTAATCGAAAAGATCAGTGCTACATTCTACAGATATGTCAATCAGCATACCTTGATGTAAAAAGGACCCAAGCGTATCAAGGTCTCTCGAAACTGAAATAAGGAAATGACAATCAGAGACATGATGCTCAGTTCCACCAACAACAACAGACAAGAAAAACTACCTTTTCTGCTCTTTTATGCATGTCATTGAGCCACAAATGCCAAATAGTGAGTTTTACAACATGAAAAGAGATGGTAGCAGCCCTGTACAGAGCAAGGAATGGACCAAAGCCACGGTCAGCAAAAATCCTGCGCGAACTTGACCCCAAGATTCTTCCAAACTGGGTTTCCAGTGACTTCTTTCTGATCTTTGCATATTCTGATGATGGTCTCTCTCCATGTACACTTGTAAATGCACTTGAGTAGCTACAAAATAGAAAAAAATAAACCACCTAAACATAATTTCTGTAAACAAATAACACTAGAATTATTCAAATTTCAACATGCTGGCTCAGTAAAACATCTGCAAATCATTGAAATAAAATATTTTCTTCAAATAGAAGATCCAATTTATCTAATGCCACAGACGAATTAACCAAATAGCCTTCCTCCTAAATTATAATGAAGAATTTATTTAAGCTAGATTAGTTCAGTATGTTTCTCAGTGATGATTGAGTAAGATTAAGTCATTTCGGAGATCTGTCTGCGTGAAACTTTATACACTGTTTCAACAAAAAAAAATACAGTAGGCACTTAGGACGACCTGCCATTGCACACTGTTCTTCTAATCCAAAACATTTTAGACTATCAAAGTGAATCATAAATTGAATGATTGATTGGCGCACGGTACAATTACAACTAGCGAATTCCAAATCCGCAAACATAACGGAACTGCGACCTAGGGTTACGCCGTGGTGACCGGTAGCTGAGGTTAACCTGTCGACTGTCGTTACCTCATCACCGGCGTTGAGGCGGGGAGGCAGGGAGGTGGTGGCGACGCCGGGGAAGAGGTCGGGGGGGCGGCCTGCAAGGCGCGGGGAGCGAGAAAGGGGAGGCCTCTGCGTCGGTCGGCGCGGCGGGCGAGGAGGAGGAGCCGCGAGGTGGGGCCCGACATGGCCGGGATCTCATCAGCTCCGCCGCCCGCACGGGAGGGAGAGCCGTGGAGGGGAAGAAGGGGGCAGTGGGGTTTAGGGGAGGAGAGAAAGAGACCGGTGTACGCCGTGCGCGTACGCTCTCCTTGGAAGCAGTGAGAGGAAGGAGGCAGCGGCGCCGCGTGGCTGGAACCGAGTGCGAGCTGGCGGCCTGGCGCGCGTGCGGTGGTTCGTTGCTCGGTGCTGGGCCGCTGTCCCGTCTTGTTAGAGCTCGTCCAGTCGTCCCGTTGTTCGGGCCTGCTTGGATCGGATTCAAAAGTTGCCCTGCCAAAACTAGGGCAAGTTAAAATTAGGGCATGCCAAATTTAATTGTCAAAACTTTAGCAAAAATTTTGGTATAGCACTTGGTTGGGTGCCAAACTGGAACAGCTAAAATTTTAGACCTTGATTGGTTTGATGCCAAAATATATATGCCAAGGCCCATGATTCAATACCTAACACATACAATTATCTAATAATCACAGTATGCATCACAGATTAAGTCCAGATAGCATATTACTATATTATGTGTATGTACAGATCATCAAATGCGCCCATCTTCATTTAAGAAGACCACAACATAATATCCACTGTGCTAAAATAATACAACGAGATACATAAATCATAACCATATAAACAAGTTCATATGCTGACGACATGAAGCACGTCCAAAATACCCAAAATAACACCAGTTTAGTTAGTGCATCCATATGCTTTCCACCTGAAGCATGGCCAAAATACCACAAGTCTTAGCACCCATATTCACATACAGCTACCATATTCATAGCATACCCACTGCCACAAGTCTGTGCATCCATATTCACATGAAGCTACCATACTCACCATCATCCACACCAAAGAATAACGATACTTGGCACCTAGGTAATCAGGGGACCCAAGATCCAAATGACTAGTCTGATGCAAAGATTCAAGTAGTTCCAAAAATGAACCTCGCCCCCGCTTTGAAAGGTAGGTCGCAATGTCAACCTTGTCCCTCGGTGGGAAAGGTATATCCTCAATACGCTTCCAAAGATCAAGACACGGATCTCAGTAGTTGCGGCAAACTTGATGCAATGGATTTGGCAAGCATGGCAATACTTGCAGCTATTTCATCATCCCCTGTTGCTCTAGCACGCTTTTGCTTTATCCTTTACATGCTTCTTCCAAAGCGACTTCTTATTCTTTCGCTTTAATGTCAAACTAGAGCCTACAAGCGGTGGGCATCTAGGAGCAATAGTGTCTAATCATTCTCAAAGCATGTTCAAGAGTATATACTTTATAACTCCTTGATCTATTATTATCATCTTCAAAGATCCACAATGCAATCGGTCAATGACCAAGGATTCATTAGCTTTGGTAGATTCTCCAAATAGCTCTTCCATAAGATGGAAAAATTTAATAGGTCGTGTAAGATAGTTGTATTTTCCAGTCAGTAATAGTTATTAACAAGTGAGCCCAAGAATCTTGGAGTCTACACATATTATATGGAAAAATAAACATACATGTATGCAAATGATACACTTACCCCAAGCTTGGAAGGTGATTTATCCGAATAGTGAATATTGAACTTGCATGATCCTACATCAAAACCATAGCCACTCTTGTCCATAGCTACTTTTATCCAATTCCACTTCTCCTTAAATGCCCTAAAATGACCATCAACTTTTGTGTGGTAGCTCCAAGTCCAAATCTAGCATTTAAAGCTTCACACATATGGTGGTGGTGGTGTTGCTTCCACGTAGAGGTAGCAGTTTTTCCTTCGTAGTCAATATACCACTAAAGCATGAACTCGGTCTTTGTCATATCACCCATGTTTTGTACTTCTCGACGAGATCCAAGATTTGCATTCCCATCTTTCTTTTCCTTACCCATGCTAAGAATACATTTTAAAAGTAAGTAACAAACATTATTAAACATATAATAAATAATGTTTTGTTTGATAGAAAGAAAGGTAATCCATTAAGCATGACAAGAATATTCTTTACACGCATGCAAGCAAAGAAGATACAGATCTAAAGTTGATTACACACCCACCAAACTACACAAAACCAAAAGACAAAGCAGCAAGTACTAACTAATTGTCAATGGTAACATCATTATTAAGTCTATCATTCCACATTTGTTGGGAAATTGAATCACGCTCAGAGCCCACTCACGCACATCACCATCGATCGAGACACGATTCTTACTCCTTGGTAGGTGATTGTACCAAGTTGGCTCATCATATATGAACTCATTAGGTCCATCGTCTAGTATCCAATTATGAAGGGCACAAAGAGTAATGACCACCTTGACTCGTGACTTCAAGGGTATGAATGGCTTGTTGCTAAGAATCTTGAAGCGATTCTTGAGAGCACCAAATGCTCGTTCAACTGTTGTCCTAAGTTGGGAATGACGTTGATTGAAAAGCTCTTTTGGATATTTTGGGTCTTGGGCTCCGTGAAACTCTTTTAGGTGATAGCGAACTCCACGGTAGGGCGGTAATATGCCTAGCCTAGTGGCATATCCAGCATCGGCCAAATAGAACTTCCCTACAACCAAAGTTAACATAATGCCTAATGTGACGTCATAACGGTGAGACTATGTCAAAAATTTCAAAATCCATGAAAATCCATGAATACCTTCAGGAATTTTCAGTCCATTTGGACGAGAAAGGGCATCTTGTAGCACGAGAGAATCATGAGCGGATCCCTCCCACCCTGCTAGGACATAAGTAAAGTGTAGGTCAAAGTCAACAACTGCTAGGACATTTTGTGTGGGGTATGACTTGCGGCCCCTAAACCTATCCATAGATTTAGCAGGCACACATGCCTTGATGTGAGTTCCATCTGGTGCCCCTATACAACCCTATGTACAGAGACAAACATGTGTCAAAGCACTTATATCTAAAATTGCATATAAAAAATAAATCGCTTACACTATTGAGAGTTACCTCAAAATATGGATAGAACTTGTTAGGACTCTCAAATCTTTGGGTGCGCGTGGATATAGATCTCACATAAATTAGCTCAGAGCTAACTTGACAATGGCACGTGGGGCGGTATTAAAGCACGTACTCACTTTCCATCCCCGATCTCCACATTGCTATTGCTACAGAGGAATGTGTGTGTGTGTAATCGCCCAACAATCTTCAAAAACATTGCCAGCTTGTTCTCTCATCAAAACATGAAGTGTGTCAACTAATAGTCCCTCTCCCTAAGCCGAGCACAAAGCTTGTAGAATACAAGCCGAGACATCCCGAGCTCACGCATACATATTCTCGTCCGAGGTATCAATCAACCTAATTAGCTCACTACTACGCCATATATCCCTTTGCACCAAGGAGCATACTTTATGCGCTTATCAGCATTCTCTTGTGATTTTTGTTCCTCCACCACAAGGCCAAAGAAGAGAACAAAAAAACTAGGGCCTTTTGCCTCGACATACAAAAATGAGAGAAATTTTTGTGAACATTGCCAATCAAGGTGTAGGCGTGTAGGCAATGTGTAGGAATAAAAAAATGAAAAATAAAATGCAAAGCATGTATCAGCAGCAAGTTAATTAAAATAACTTTTGATATGCACAAGCATAAATGGAAACGGAAGTAGTACTTGGCATGTATAGTAGCCAATAAATTATATTACTTTAGTGAACGGCCGGTTTAACAAACTAATATATGCAACTAAACTAAAGTGATTTGAACTAACGTACACGATGTGGAGCATCAAACAATTGTCGATTATATCTAGATTTTTTTTTAATGGGCAAGACGAATTGTTTAACCATCATATAAATAATGCTGAAATCTTAACAGAGGAATATTCAATGGGCTTATGCGATTGAGAATCGACTATCTCGAGGAACAACAACTACAATCGTAGTAACTTGTTGTAAGCCCGTAGCCATGCAGAGACTCGAGAGAGAGACCAAAGAAACTCGATTTGAAAGATTTACCTCCAGTGAGTGGACCAACGGATCTAGTCAGGGCAATTGCCTCCTGGTACGCTTTTCCTCTCGCACTTTGTTGCAAAAGAGATCTATAAACGGATGATAGATTAGACACTCATTCCTAGAAAATGGATGGAGGATTGAAGGAGGAAAACACTGCTAGTAGGAATAGATGGATTAATCGGAGATGAGAGGCCACCAGATGAGGGAAGATGCTCCTTGTTCCCCAACGGATTAAGGGATCTGTTATGAAGGTAGGGATGGAAGGATATGTCCCTTTAATGCATGATAGGAATGAGTGATGGACCGGGGATCCTTGGACCGGTGGAGGTTCAGGGATCTGCACAAAGCGACGGAGGAGATAAGTGGCGGCGGCCGTGAAAAGTGACGACGAAGAAGGAGGGATTAGAGGAAGTGGTGGTCTGCTGTGTCGATGGGAGGGTGATACTTGTAAAATAACGAGGGCAATAGGAGTCTTGTGAAGGCAGCCAAAAATATTGGCGCCGACGTCTCGTGTCCGCCGCCGATTCGGCTGGAAGGTTCAACGCACCAATTCTTTGGTTTCAAACCAAACGAGCGCCAAAGGTTTGGGACTGCCGTGGATTTGGCCGGGCGGATTTTGGACAACATCCAAGCAGGTCCTTCATCTCCTGGATTGCAGCCCACGCCGACTTGCGTCCCCACTTGGCTCAAAATTAGATTTGGTTGAACCGAAGATTTTTTTTATTTAATATATACATGCAATTCGATCATCAGATATCGTGACAAGAGGTTTTGAATTATAAATCTCGACAAGTGCAATTTAAAATAAAACAATTATAGCCAACTCGTGTTTCCATATTTGAGGCCTAATGGCAGTCCCAATCCAGAAACCAGGACATGATTTCCAAGATTGCCACATCATCGTGAAACTACTTTAGAAACTTACAGCCACAACACATGATTTCTTAATGTGGACCCCACAAAGATGGCAACACCAATCAACGTCTAAGTGAGAGGGCCCATCGTAACCAAAGACATCTCGCTTCTTCAAGCCTATCCAAGAGCACGACATCGC